TAGGGACTGTGGGTGGGAAGGAGAGAAGCAGAGAAGAGGCATGGCCATTAGGACAATACTTAGGCTGTGAGGCTGGAAGGGATAGCTTGGGTTCTCCTGTTTGATGTCAGGCATGCTCTAAGGCAGAGCTCGCACTTTAGATCCTGCATCGCACCCAATTGGCACTGATATAGCCAGAGTCCATCTGTTAGGAAGACCCGACAATCTTGTATGGGATGGTTGCATAGGGTTTTAGATTTCCCTCCCCTCTGCTACCTGGCTAGACTTTATCCCTCCTGGATGAAGAGACCCAGCTTGTTCCAGGAGGTGGCTGAGCAGCAGGGAGATGCAGGATACTAGCCTGACGGTGACAACACCCAGTCTGCATCTTATTGCAGCTTTGCAGGAAGAATTGTATTTATTAATTCCACGGGAAAAAAAAATTGGCATCTTTTTTTGCTTGTAAATAGGACATTTGGGAAGCTTTGGAATGGGCCTGGCTTCAATTGGAAACATCCCGTCACAGCTGAGTTGCAAAATTCAGCTTTGCAAAATCAAAGTAAAACCCACTCTTTATTTCTGGTGTTTCTGGAGGTGGCTGGGAGGGGCTGCTTTCTGCTATGCTTCCGCCTTTCAAAATTCCTGCGATCTTACCTAGCCCTGGTAAGTGCCGTGAAGTGCTGAGCACCTGCTGCTCCCATTCCTGAGCACCCGTCAGGATGGAGTGCTTTGAAGCTGCGACAGCCTTTCTGGAGGACCCAGCCCTTGCCTGCTGGGCTGTAGTAGGCTGGAAGCACTAATTAGAGTCTGTTCCGGTGTTGGGAACGTGCCTGCGATTCACAAAAAGGCCCATGCATCAGTCCCAGCTGCATTCCCCAGCCACAGCCCCATGGCAGAGCTATGAATGAACCATCCTTCCCAGCTCAGTGCAAGTTTTCTGTGCTAAGGTGAAGAGCCAGCTGCTGGGCTGGCCCCAATGCTGATTTTAATGACTAGTTTGAGCTCAGGTGCTCCAAAGCTCAAGGCAATATGTATGTTTAATGACTGGCTAGGAGGACTTGTGCCTCAATATCATAATCATCTGGTGCTTGTTATGTACGTGCTACACCCGCTGCTGTGCTAGCTGAGCTCTGTGCAGGAGTTGATCTAACCCACTGTGCTGTCCCGGAGGAGGATAGGGGTAGTGCTGTCATTACCATGGTACAGAGGGGAAACTGAGGCACAGAGCAAGTTGCCCGTGGTCACACTGAGAGCCTGGGGCAGAGCAAAGAATTGAACCCAGCCCTCCCGAGTCCAAGGCCACCCAGCTATTGATCTGTTCCCATTCTAGTGCTAATGCACTTTGGGCTACAGGTCTCAATAGAAACCTAATTCATACCAAGGGATTTAGCCTCTAGAGTAGCTGTGCCAAGGCACCCAACACCCGGCTGTGACTGTGCTCTGATGGGCCCCAACACGGAATGACTTCCAGAATCGGTGACTTCTCCGTGGACATTTTGCTGTTCAGCCCTTGCATCAAACGTGAGGTTGCATGGCCATGGGGGCTCAGCACATCTTAGATATGTAGGAAGGACGAACCTCAAGTGTCCATCCCCAAATCAAATATGGTACTGAGTTGATAGGCACTGCACACCCATGTGTCATGTCCCCTATACAGGCAACGGAGATTGTCCTTTAGCTCAAGCTGCAAAGATGGGTGCTGTTGGCACAGTGTGATCAGCAGGTATCCTGGTTTTCTCTGATTTAAAAAAATCCCCAATTTTCAGTTAAAAAAGTAACCCCAAATCCACATTTTCCGTGATTAAAATGAAATGCCACTCTGTGTGTGTGTGTATTTTAATATATAAATGGTGTTTCATTTAAATCATGGAAAAATGTGGATTTGGGGTTACTTTTTTTTAACCAAAAATGGAGGATTTTTTTTTTTTTTTAATGGAGAAATCCAGGATCCCTGGTGAGCAAAGTGCTTACTGGACACTTGAACTCCAAGCCTCTGTAGCACACGGTGTATGCAATGCGGTGTGTCTACGGTAGATGGCAAGAGGCTGTTGCAAGCACTGGGAGCAGGCAGAGTTGGAAAACAGCTTCATGGTGGGAAGGTAGAGTGGCTGTAAAGGTGAGGGGAGTGTGGTGGAGAGTGAGGTGGAGTGTAACCAGACAGATCACAACATTTGGAGAGAGCAGTTAATGATGTCCCGCTTCTCTTTACAAACCTCAAGCAACCATTAAACTTTGGGTCAAGGTTTGCTCGGTGGGAGTTGATGGCACTGGGTGGGATTGCTTTTTGTTTTTGTTTTTCATGACTGGAAATGGGAGCTCCCCAAATGTTAAGTGTGGTTGCATTGCTCTCTCTCTTCAAAAGCGTCGTCTCATGGTTGGTGTGGTCCTTAGAGCTTTCACTGCTGGAATCGGGTCGTTACCTGAGAACCTTGGCTTTCATTTCAAGGATAGTTCCTGGCCCTTGTGGTCATCGAGGAAAGCATGAAAAAGCAGTTCCCTGAATGATTGAACACCTGGAAGCAAATCTAAAGAATCCCAGCCACATTATTTTCCAAAATTTCGTCCTTTTTAAAGCCAGTTTCATAATTGTTAAGGGGGCCTGCCTCTTGATTCTGTGCTGATGCCTTCATGCATGAAGAGGGAGCAATTTGGTGAAATGGCTTTTATTTTAAATAATGGAAAATGGCTAAAAGGAAGAATAAAAATAAGGTTTCCGTGAGAGAGCGCATCCTATGTGCATCATCCTGTAACTGGGGGCAGCAGCTCTGGGAATAGAAATGGCTGTTTTTGGTCCACTGAGATGGGGGGACATTTTAAAACTTCTGTACACATGGTGGTTGCAGTTCCAGAGTTAAATGTGCCCAGTAGTGTCTTGGTAGCGCTCCACCAGGCTCAACTCAACACATGAAGACCTCCAACATGCTGCTAAGAATTCAAAGTAGCAGAGTCCAGCTGCCATTTCATGCCCTGAGTTTTATCATTAGAGTTGCCATGTGGAGTATTTTGGGCCCAGTTCTGCCTCCAAGATGTGCTTTTGGCTCCCCATGCTACCATCGAGAGGTGCAAACGTGGTTTGAATTTGACCCCCTGACTGCATTACAGGTTCTCCCACCAGCTGTGCGGTGTCTGTGCAGCGAGTTGACTGGAGCCAGACCTGTACAAGGGGCTCTTCCTCCAACACCATGCATGTGAGCCTTCGGGGCCACTGAAATATGGTTGTGAAGAAGCTCCAGATGCAAATGTTAGCTGTAAACATGACTGATCCATTCCTCACGGTCCAGCTGTGCTGCAGCCTGCAGCCCCGCAGAACTCCTTGCGCTCCCAAAATGCTCTTGCCTTTTTGGGCTCCAGCTGCTTGCTCCACCATCAGTGGTGGAGGGCGTAGGACACAGCCAAGCTGTTGCAGGTCTCTCCAGCAGACGGCAGTGGAGCCCAAACATGCTCTGGGCTTCTCCCAGGATTGAGGTGCTTGTGATAAGCCTCCGCCCTGCCAAGGTGGCAGCTGACAGGTGTGAGCTCGGTGCCCCAGCAGACGCATGGGGCAGGTATGCATGGAATCTGCTGAATAGGTTCTTACTTGACAGCGTGACATCTCTGTGCTGACAAGGCACGTAGATTGCTTGCAAACCTGGCAGGGGACAAACCTCCAGAGAAGCCAAGCGGAGCTGCAGCCACCTCTGCCATGGGTGGACAGCCTGCTCCAAGGGGGGTTCTGCCTCCCTGGGTCTCCAGCTAGACTACACCTCCCCCCGCCCACCAGTTCCATTCCCCTTGCACGCACGAGGGGACAGAGGGGAAGATTCAGCCCCCGGCGAGGAAATGGCTGCATGGTTCTCAGTGATTCCAGCTGCACGCAAACAAACGATGCCCCAGTGCTGGGCTTCCGGGGCCAGAGACGCTTCCTTCTCTTGGACCGAGTACAGGGCCCCGTTCTGCCAAGGAGCACAAAGCAGGCAGGAGAGCGGGGCCAGCGGCTGGGGCTGGCTCTAGCCATAGGCATCTCTTGCTGCACCCACTGCTCTCCACCGCTTTCTTCTCTCTGTTGGGCAGCGGGTTCTGGGCAGTACCTACAACAAGCATGCATGATTGCTAGTGTGCCCGGGGCCATTTCTCACTGGCATACCTGTGCCCAGCAGAGACCTAAGAAAAGGAGTAAGACCAGCCCAGCTGCATCCTGGAAGATACTGTAAGGAGCTTTTCCTCTAAGTTATTCTCTCATCTTCTGGGTTTGTTCTGACAGACCCCCTGGATTCGCATTTCCTAGTTTGTCCAGTACAAGCAGGTAAACAGGAGTTGGTCCAGCCCTTCCCTTTAAACGAATGGAGGAGAAAGCCCATTTGTGATTGCCTGCAGCATCCTCTGGAGAAGCTGGTGCTGGTCACTCAGGGATTGACCAAGTGTGGATAGGCCCTCAGTCTGATCTGGAGTGGCAGTTTCATTCCTTTCTTCCTAGACTAATGATCCCAGACAATGCACTGTGAAATCTCCCTTCTGTGGGGCCAGGACTGTACATGCTGTCTTTGAATGAACAGGGAAATGCAGAAGCCCAGTACCACACATGATCCCAGAAGCAGCTTGTGTCAATGCGTCCTAAGTGACCTCCTCCCTCATGCATACTGTTTTCAGGCCCTTTGGGCCCGGTACAACCCCGCTGAACTCCAGTGAGTGACTGCGACCAATGCAAGGAAAGAGTTTGCACCTTAGTCTGAATTCAGTTACGTTTGCAAATGGAGGAGTCAGAGGCTTAGTGGGACTGAGTGGACTTGGGTTCAAATCCCAGCTGTGCTACTGATTTGTTGGCTAACACTGGGCAAATCATTTCTTCTCTATGACTTGATTTCCCCATATGTAAATGGGCATAATCATGCTGACCTTTCAAGAGTGCTGCAGGATCTCAGGATGGAAATGAGCCAGATGATGATGGTCTTTTCATGCCCGTCAGCCAGCGAGCTATGGCATGCTGTTCTGTGGGGTTCCCGACAAGGAGCGTGCTGTGTTGGACATGTGATTGTCAGTCAGGCCTGTGCGTTCGCTGTCCCGTCCTCTGCAAGTTGCTGGACACAGAAGAGCCAGCAGAATCCTCCATCTCGGTGCAGATGGTCGCCAAGGAGGTTCTGTCTGGAGAAGACACACTCCCTTCCAGTGAGAACTGGGACAGGATATTAGTGGGGCATTGGGTAGGTGGGGCCCTCTGGGAGGCTCCCTTCCAAGAGCAAGGTGAAGGATAGGAGTGGATTCCCGCGCACGGGGGCGAGAGCCTGCCATGCAGGTGAGTCAGATGTTTGGCAGTTTCCCGGGAGGAGAGGCAGAGGCTGCTTTCGGCTTGCAAGTCTAGGGCAGGTGACAATTAACAAGGAATGTTCCTGAAAGGTGACTTTGTCACTGTAGGAAGGGGAAGTGCAGGATTAGAGCCCAGGAAAGAGAGCAAAGGCGTAGGATTAGCTCAGATCAGGCACAGACCTGGTGGGGATAGCCAACAAAGCCCCGCAGTGTGCAGAGGCCGGGTTGCAATTGGCACTGGTGGCTCCATCATTGATCAGCGGGTGCCTGGGGGGACGTGTAATTGAGTTACAAAGAGGCCTGCTGTGACAGCAGAGGGAAGGCAAGTGGCCAGGATGCCAGTAGGCACCGGGTAATTTGCTTCCACTCCAGCAGTCTCTGGGACCGGAGCGCCATGGGCAGCTTGATCCCAGCCCCAGCTCTGGCTCTCAGGTGCTGCAGCTATAAAAATAGCGCCCAGTAGAGACCGTGACCCCGGAAATAGAGTCACTACCTGCACTGGGACTACAATTGCACCATGGGCTGCACTGCATGGAGGGGTTTGAGCGAGCCCCTGATCTGGAGTTTAAGACCTGAGGTCATGTCTTTCCTAGCCAGGCCTTTCAAATCTGCCAGTACTACGCAGACAGTGACGATCTCAGGGCATTTTATAAAAGAAGGGGGGTTGCCTGTGCCTGTCTATAGCCAAAATGTGTTTTCTCCACTGTTCTGCTGCATGTTAGCTGCCTGCTCCCTTCCTCGCCAGGCATGGCCACATGTCAGTAGCAATACACCGTGAAGTGTTTGGGGATGAAAGGTGAGGGAACAGTGAGAAGCCCTAGCACAACACATGAAATGCCACCCGGATGCATGCGAATGAGGAGGCTAAATGTACATGCTGAGGGCATGGCGATGACAACGAGTGCAAGCCTCCAGTGTGCTGAGATTTCATGAGACCCTTCGTGTCTGAGCTTATTTATACTTTGCTTAGGTTTGTGTTTTCCACTGTTTCATAGCTGTTGTCTTTTTATTAAGGGAAACCCTATTTTTATTAAATCCATCCCCAAAACAGGCCCCTGAGCCAGATGCTGGGTAGGTGAATCATTCAGGTGTTTGTTCAAGACCAGTTTAGGACTGGTTCATTGTTAGGATGCTGGGACTATGGAGGGCTTTTGGTGGAAGATTGTAAGGTTTAGACAGAGTTCATCCTCTCTGCTGCAGCCTTGATAGTGGTTACTGAAAGGCTGCTGGGTGTGTGTGCGTGCGGGGGTGCGTGTGAGAATTTGTTCGAGACATCTCCTACGCTTTTAAGGACATAAAACATTGCAGCTCTGAGGTCACAACTGTCTGGTGACAGCCTTAGTGTGAATATTTCATGGGAGTTCTTGCTGTGTTCACTAGATCCCGCTTCAGGGATTTCGGCTGGTTTTGGAAACATGTCGCCTTCCAACAAACTGCTGTCTAATGCTTAAAGCCAGGGCTGGCTACCAAGACTCCTGGGTTCTCTGAGCCTTCTCTGTCTCCATCACTGCAAGATTTGAAGTACAGGTTATGCAAGCGCTAGGACGAGATGGCTTGGGCAGCAGTGAACTAGATGTGACCCCCTGAGGTCCCGCTAGCCCTGCTTTTCTGTGATTCTGCTCTCAAAAAAGACTTGGATAAAAGGAAAACCATTGGCCTGACCCAGAACAGTTGTTCCTGGCCCCTGCAGAGGGTCTGTTGAGAGTCACCATGTACATCTCAAACTCGGGGAAGCAGCATGGTGCATTGCACAGGGTATCAGAGTGGGAGTGAAAAGACCTGCCTTCCTTCCGCAGCTCTGCTGCTGCCTGACCGTGTGACTGAGACAGCAGCTTCCCCTCTTTAGGCCTCCATCTCTCCAACTGAGGTAGGGACTCTTCTCCATCTCTGGGAAGCGCTTGGAGATCCATGGATGGAAGCAGGTCAGGTGCTGCTACTGGACTGATGTCCAAGCAGAGAGAATTGGGGAGGGCCTGGGAGTCCCAACCCCCTCCCCACCTCCAAGGAAACTGGGGTTGCTTCTGTGTTAAAGCTCTTCTGCTCTTGCCTTCTCCCTCCTCACCTTGCCCCCCGCAGCCCTGCCTCTCTCCTGGAGCGCCTTCCACATTGGAGGAGGAGCAGAGACACAGGCTGGTTCTCACCTGGGAGCCACCCGGGCCTGCTTTGTGCAATCGCAGGATTGGATTCCAGTCGCAGAGGGGCTCGTTAGCTGCCTCTGATCTGCCAGAGCCAGATGTGCTCAGGGCGTTTGCCTTGGCAAAGGGGCCGCTGAATGGGAAGAGAGAGGGCTGGGGGATGAGAGGGGAGGGAAGAAGAGAAGCCAGGATATTTCAGCAATGCACACATCAGCGGCGGCTGCGAAGGTCAGAGCCTGGGCACCGTGCTGGGGGCTGGGGATGAATGCGGGAGGCTGGGCTTTCAGCCTGATGGGATCGAGGCTTCTGGACTACACCTAGGGAAGAGCAAATACTGCGTACTTGCTCTCTCTCAGTGACTCTGTTTGCAGGGTGGTAGTGGGGTTGCCTGCCTGCCTGCCTGCTGTGACTTGTGGGGGCACTGGGGTTTGGATCAGGCAGCTGCTTATACTTCTGGGCTGGGCATAACCTTGTTGGTGGGACCCATGGCTGCTGGGCCAGGCTGGCGCCAGGTGCACTAGTAAAGGGGTTGGTTTCCCAGGTCTCCTCTCCACTTCATTCATCCCCTTCTCTCCCCACCCCCACCGAGGCTGCCTGGCGCAGCATTGTGCACCCACCCCCTCTCTCTCACACATGCACTGAGTTGCACATGACACGCCGGGCTTGGCACATGCGTGCACAAACCCACGTGTGCAATTGTTTTCACACACACAGTGCATTGGTCTCTGCCTTGGCAGAGCTGTGCTTCCTAGTGACAGGGCTTGCTTGCTTTGAGGTTAATCATTCAAAATCTTCCCAAGGCAGGGCACAAGCCCAGCTTGCTCCCCTTCCCCCACAGAGCCAGAACATGCTAGGACAGACACCCAGCGGAAGCCCCTGCCCCATCCCAAAATGTGGGTGCTGGTGGGGGGGTGTTCAGTGGGGTGGGAACCTTGTCTCCACCCAGCTATACCTCCCACAGTTACCAAAACCTTTCAGGCATCCACTGGCATCCTCCTTCTTTAAAGCACAAATACCTTAGTGATCCCTCCTCCCTGAACACGCAGCTGTAAGGAGGGATGGGAGGAAGCCAAGGGACTCCATATGTGATCTTAGGTGACTCAGCCCTTCTCCACTGCAGTGTCTTCTTTTTGGGGCTAATACGTGACCCCAGGTGAGAGCAGTTTGGGGGCTGTGAGGTCCTGGGCAGAAAGGCACAGCAGTCAGATTAGGGTTCTCGCCCCCCATACTTTGTGTCTAGATGAAAACCGCTTTTGTTGATAGACCGGATGGGCAGCGGTGCCCTTCCCTCCCGGATCCCGTGGCCAGCGCCGTGGACATGTCTCTTTAAAGCTTCTGGCCTTTCAGCTCCTCGTCCTCCTTGGTCTGCTGAGTTCCTTCCAAGTCCAAAGCTGCTTCTTTCTGGCTCCATGCCCTCCTTTCTGCTTTTTCTGGAAGGAGGAGGAGTGGGGGCGTGCGATGGGGGGAGCAGCATGGAGTGTTTTGCTTGTGGAACAGAGGCTTCATTTACAGTGACCGCTGGCAACCAGCAAGGTCCAGTGGCCTGGCACGTGGTCAAACTGGGTTCTGGTCCCAGCTGCTGCCTTCAGGCCAGTCGCTTCTCCCTTGGGTTTATCTGTGAAGGGGTGATCATGACACTTCTCCTTTGATGCAAAGCGAGATGTCGGGTGCAAAAAGGCTGGAGATGTATTGCCGCTGTACTGAGAAGCCCAAGTGTCCTTGCTCAGGCTAAGATGTCTGTGGCCATCAGCTGGGAGTGCTGTTTCCGTAAGCACCAACTCTCCAGCGAGAGGGAAATGCAGGAGCTGGTGCTAGCTCTGCTGTTGGGCTTTGAAGAGATGGAGCCAAATCCTGTGGCTGGATTTTAACTGGGGTCAGCTAATGTTACAGCCATTAATAACCTGCAGGCTGAGAGCTACAGGCACTTGGTGATCGAAGAGCTCTGTCTCTTCTCTGAGTACTATGAGTTGATAACAATGGGGGTAAGGAGGTCTCTGGCTGCGGGGCTAAGCCAGCAG